TTTTTTTTTTTTGTGGTGGGGGTGCTAGCTTAACAAGAGTAATAAATCTTCCAATCACTTTTGATAAACGAAAATGTAGATTCTCAAGCGTGAATGTAACGAAAAACATTAATTGCAAACTTACATATACTTACATATCATACAAAATTATATTAATAAATATATAAAAATTTATATAGATTATTAAAATAAAATTTTTTAACTACTATAGCGAATTTGAATTGCATAAAGTGTAAATAATGTGTAAAATATTAAAGAACTTTATAATTCTTAGCTTGTTATTTTAAAAATATGAGATTCTATTTTATAAAATTTAACAATGTAAAAAAGATTGAAATTGCATTTTAATATAATATTTAACAATAATCTTCGCATAACTCAAAGTTATCGATGAATATTCAAATATAATTTAGCGCTTAGAAATTTTTGAGAAGCTGATTTAAATACACTGACACATCTCAGTGTGCTAAGATGGAAGCATTTTAATTCTCCAAATAAATTCTTCGAGCAATTCGAAATTGATTCCTCAGCAATAATAAAGGCAACACAAAAAACAAATACACATACGCACACAAACACATACCAATATAAAAACAAATGCGAACAAAAAAGAAAAACAACACTTGAAACAATTGGCATTAGGAAAATAGATACGTTCAATGAGGAGTAACGACAAAAATAGCAGGCGTAATCATCGATCCGGACAGTCGGCTCGAGTACCTGACGTATGAGTTGCAGTGTGCGCACAGCGGTATACGCGATCCTGCTCCGACAGCTTGATTCAGGATGCCCCGTCCGCGTTTAGGCGCGCTGCTACCCGCGAACGATCCGCTCTTGGAGCTCGCGCCGCCGGGGCCGCCGACTCCGGTACCTAGATCCGGGTGGGACGACAAATTTGGTGGGTCTACTAAACTCTGGATCTTACTAGGGGGATCACAGTGAATCTGGTCCTGGCAGCGGTTCTGGGTGCTCTGACAATTATTGCCGGACTCGCAGTGGGACTCGCGGTAACTCTGAGCGTGATAAATAGTGCTCTCGGTGTAGCTTTGAGTCTGGGGAGGCTGAGCTTGAGCTCGGGGCTGAATTGGCTTGTAAAGCTGCACCATGGGCACGTTTTGCTGGCCGTTCTTGGCCGTTAATCGCGCGAGCTGACCGCTCAGGTTAGTGCGAGGCTTGAAGCTCGGAACTGGGCATTGAGGAGCGGTCGACGGGGGTGGTGTTTCTTCGTAAGGAAGCGGGATTTGCGGGAAGGGAAGATTCGATTGACTCGGACCGGGTTTTTTGCATGGTGCCACGCAAACGGAACCGTCGGCGCAGGGGGTGACGCAGATATCGGAGTCCGGGTAGCTGGAGATGTTTAAGTCGCAAGCCGATTCGCGACCGCAGGTGCCCGACGGTTGACCGCAAGTGCCGGATTGCATGCCGAAGCAGGGCGACACGCACACGCCCGATCGATCCTTCGTCGGCGTCACACAGATTCCGGACTTAGGACAGGTAGTTTGCGAATCTTCGCACGGCACCACGACGACGCCAGTTTTCATACCGCGATCAGAGTGCGCTTTACACGGTAGAACGGTCACTCCTGTCTCCGGGCAGGATTTCGGCGACGGTGTTTCGTATCGTATGTGACGCACTTCCGTCGAACTGCTGTAGATCGGCGCGGGGGTTGCTCGTGAGGTCATAGGGCACGATAAGGTGGGCTTCGTGTGGCTCACCTTGCTGATAGCGCAAATACTCGGTTGCGGGCTCTGAGGCGGCGGTGCCGGCGGCAATACTTCCTTTCGCTCGCACTTCTCGTAATCCTCGACTACCTGAAGCGCTTTTTTCACGAGAGTCGCGGTGTTCTGCTGCTCGCTAGACTCCTCGCTAGTCATGCATCGTGTTTCCTGAAATTGAGCGTAGAGCGCGTCCGTCGGGCCCGCATCGAGATTGGCGGTTTCCTTCTCGTCATAATTAACGGTTCTCGACGCGGAATATTCCTGCTTTCTGTGACCGCTGTCGGTATCCTCTTCCACGTTGTAGGAGATGGTCTTACGCGAGGGAAAATGCACCGATCCACCGTGCTTTGATGGTGGTGGATCTTCTCGAACTCTTGGCGCGTGAACTTTTACATAACAAGCAGGCGGCTCGGGCGGTCCTTGAGCAGGCGATTTCGATCTGTTAGGCGTCGGGGTCGGCGTTCTGCTGGGAACGAACGGCTGACCTTCCACCGGTCCTTTTTTCATTGCCACTAGATTTCTCTGATAGAGCGGTATGGTATCGGGCTTCTTCAGACCCGCCGTGTACGATTTGCACGATTTAGGCGTTTCCGGTCGAGATCTTGGAGCAGGCGATGCCGAAGAATCTCTCAGACGATGATCCGGCGGCGGAGTGGGCAAAGGTCGCGGTCCGGATTTTTTAATTTCTTTTTTAACGCATATTTGCTCTCGCGCGTAAGATTCTTTCGTTGTATTCTCATCGCCGTACAGAATATTCAACGGCGGACAAGGACCGTTATTTTGCACCTGAAGGCTCGGAGTCTGCGATCTACTGGCGATCTGCTGATCTTCCGGCCCGATTTCGCGACTCAGAGGAGTGTAAGATCGTTCGGGCGCAATCGTCAGAGCTTGCTGGAAAGGTGAAATTGGCCGAATTTCTTTCTTAGGCGGCGGTGGTTTAGGTCGGCATCTGTGGTCTAGGTAGATGGTCTCTTCGGTGTAGAGCTCTTTTACGCTGGAAGTGGCGTTTAATGGCGTGTAAGATCGATCGGGCGCAGTTGTCAGAGCGTTCACCATCTCGGACTTCCACTCCTTCGGCGTGGAATTTTTCACGGGCGTGTCCGACAAGGGTTTCGGCCCTGTCTCCGTCTCTTTCAAGAATTGCACTCTCTTTTTACACGTTTCCATGGTATCTTGAGGCGGCTGGCCGTACTTCACAACGACGCTGCGTCTTTCCGGCGCTTGTTGATTTCGGAGATTCTGATGGACCTCCACTTGCTCCCGCAAGCTTTTTTTGCGTTCGTCTTCCAAGCTCGGCCGCTCAGCTCCTTTTCTTTTCACTCGTTCTTGAACTAGTACTTCTTCAGTAATTTCTTCGTACGTTTCCTTCGTAATCTTGCAACGGCCTGGAGTAGATCCTTCCGACTCTGTGATGCGCTCCTCTCGCACGACGGTTCTGCCTAACGGCTGCTCCCGCACCTCTTCAACTTCTACATCATCGTCGTCAAAAGTCACGTGCTTCTTGGCCCTCTCTTCTTCTTCACGTCTTTTCTTTTCTTCCTCCTCTTGCCGTTTTCGTTCTTCTTCTTCGCGTCTCTTTCTTTCTTCTTCCTCTTTCCTTCGTTCTTCTTCTTCCTCTTCTTTCTTTCTTTCCTCTTCTTCCTGCTTGGCTTTCTCTAGCATCTGCTGTGCGTCGATGGCCGACGTAACTGTCTCGGCGGACTCCTCCACAGTTCGTTCTTCCGCTGTATCTTCCACTCGTCGATTGATGTGCGTTTCAGTTCTTTTCGCGAAGCACTCGGTCTTTGTTTCATTCTCCGCCTCCTCAATTATTGGCGTGTTAGATTTCTCCGGCGACGGCACTCTCTCCACGGTCTTTTCGAAGGTTGCCGACTGTTTTACACGCATGCCGTCTACGGTTTCTTCAGCCGTCTCTGTGATGAAATCGTGTTCGCCCTGAATTCCTTTCGAGACTTCCGCCTCGTCCGTCTCGTCGCCTCTCAGATCGGTGACTTCGGTGTCGACTTCTTTGATTATCTCAGCTGGCTCCTGCTTAGGCGTGGGCAAGGGCGGTTTTGGGCAAATTGTTTGCTCCCTCCGACAGATCTCCGCTCGGTAAGCTCGCTGTTCCTCCCGATGTTCCCTGCCGCCCGACACGCGTTCTCGATGACAGATTTCCCGCTGCATGAATTTCTTGCAGACTTGCCCCGCGGGTTGTTGCTGCTGCCCGGCGTAACTCTGCTCGTACAGATTCGTACCTCCGCCACTGACGGTCGCAGTCCACGGTTTCGGAATCGGCTGCACAATTCTAGTTGGTGTCAGCGATCGTCGGACACTGTCGGTCGAGCTCGGTCTCGAGGTCGTCACATCCGATCGAGAGGTTCTGCTGCTCGTGTCCACCAGCTCGACACGCCGATACACCGGTTGTCCAGGACAATTCACTCGATCCATCGCGTCAATTTCGTGCCGACGATTATATTCTCTCGTCGCTCTTTCGACCTCCCGGTCGACGCTTTCACTTCGATGTCTTTCGGTTCTACGGCTTAAAGCTCGCTGGCAAGCCTCGATGCTGGCACGTTTTTCTCTGATCGCCTGGTGGCACCTTTTGTCGGGGATGGGATTCGGATTAATATAGAGAGGACTGGCAGTGGGATATGTGATATCTTCGATAGGTTTGGGGGGTGGCCAAGCAAGACTTCGGCCGGATTTTACAGAACTGGGGCGGGAAGAGTGGTTCCTCGTGCCCTCCACGATTTCGTAATAGCAGGATCTTTCGTAGATCTGACTGCTGGAGGTTTCTGGGGTGACGAATAGGGGGGTGGCGACGGACGATAAGAATGTCGAAATCACGAGGTAAAACAGGATACATAACACACGAAAAATATAATACATGCGTTTGGGTGGGTATTTAACAGATTAGATTTGTCGGGAGGTACGTTAAAGAGAACAAACAAAAAAAAAAACAGAGAAATCTGCAGTGAGTAAGAAGCCCGATGAACCGCGCGCGCTCGTGGTCTCTTCGACTTTTCTGCCGAATTCGTAAAATTATTTATTTCAAATATGCTAGCGCAAAAAATAATTTAAATTTTCCAAATATATTTAAAAAGCTGATGAGTTTGTCATTTTAGAATTATTGTATACATTATTAATTGTCATAAAAAATATAGGCGATATTAAATATTCTTTTTTGGAATATTTTATTATATATTTACGAACCCATTTTTAAAGATATTAAGTCGATTTTAGAATTTACGAAGTCGATATTAGAATCTAATCTTCTTTTTTTTACAGAATATTTTGATTTTGAATTTTTAATGTTGAATAATAAAAAGAAAGAAATGATTATATCAAATTATAAGACAATTTTATCGGACGTTTTTCGGCGAAAGAAGACCACGAGCACAACCCGGTATGCTAAATTAAGAAAAAGAAGCGAAATATAAGACATTCAGAGATTAAAGATTCAGTCTTCGCGATAATCTCCGAAGACTTAACCATTATTATTATTTAAATCACCAAGTGTGCATTCTTGATAATCATTCGACACTCGATAGTCTAATAGAGCAGTGAGAAAACTGCGAGTTTGCGAGTGTTAAATGCCGCTGTCAGATTGATCGTAAGTAGCTAAAGTTACTTCTGCGACGATATTAGCGGTGTCTCGAGTGCTTCAGAGCATCGATGCGAAGCGAAGAAAAAACGGTGTTAAGTATGAACTTGTGGACGAGTACCGAAGAGACGATGGCGCAATAAAAAACCAAAGTGGAAGTAGATGTACGCTTGTTGAATGAAGAATTTATGTTTTCTTTTGCATTCGCATTTATTTATCCAACACTTCGAGTTGATGACAATACAAATTGTCACCAAGCAACACTTGAGAAGTATCATTAAGTTTGTTTGCTGACTCACGATTTTCTTTCTCGTATCTCGAAAGAAATAAAAGAGAAATAGTTCCGAGCATAAAGGAACATTTATTAGCATTGTAATATTATGCTGATAAATTAATAGATAAATAAAATGGAGAAAATTCTTCCCATTTTCATCTCCTAATTATTGAGAAATGTCGAAAACTATAACACTCGAAAGAAAAATCGAAAGCAGCGAAATATGTCGATATTTTATAATCTGGCACTTTTATATCATCTGGATCGTGTGTTTGCGTTTCGGTTGCCAGCATGAAGACGACGACGGCGGCATCGAGAGCTATTGATTTATGCGAATGTGAGGGAGAAGGGTCTGGGTTTCGGGTTGAAAGACGGACCGGCTGAAAAAAGATAAAAGAAAGATTATACGCGAGAAGAGGCACGATAACACGCGACGAAATTTCACGAACGTGACGATCGAACTATGCATTGTCCAGAAAAGTTGTTTGCTAAATAAAGTCTTTTTATAGTTACACAAAATATTTCTCTGAAAAAATAAAAAATATAAAATTTGTTTACTAAATTTAATACTATAAACTTTTGCAACAAAAAAGAAATAATATAAAAATAAAGAAAAATTTTAAGTTATAGTTTATTATTTATAATTTTATATTATGCGTATATAAATATTAACATAGTATTGGATTTATAATTTTGCCACACAAATATATCTAACTTTTTTAAAATAAATTTTTTGTTTATAAATTATCTAAAATATTCAAGATATCTGACTATCTGGACAATTTTTCGAGTACATACAGTTTTTAAAGTGCGAAAGTAGAAAGGGGTAAAAGTGTATAACGGACGGCCGCTACGAACTGTCATAGCTCTCAGAGTTCGCCGTCGTCGTCGAGATAACGACGAACGATAAGAAGCCGAGAATAAGACTTTCCGATGCTCGAATCTGAAAAAGAACCTCCCATCCTCTCTTTTTCTCTCTTTATTTAAAGAGACATTATGATACGGACCAACGAGAATCAATCGATCGATTGATGCATGAGCTGCGTGCGAAGGAGAAAGAGCAATATAAAATGTGAGGACGTAAGCCAAAGGAGGCGTATCAGCCAAAGCTCGAAACTCGGTCAATCGGCGGCTCTAATCTATTCGTCGTACCTCTGAAAGGCGAACTTTTTGGCTTTGGCAGGGTAGAGTACCGACCTATTTGCAAGAATCGAAGGCAGAGTTAGGCCAAGGACACATGAGACGAGATCGCGATCATTTAACATCGATTATGAGATCGCTTTTTCGAACTTTTCAAATAACAACGGATAAAATCGGTGGAAATTTGCCAAATAAAAAAACTGAAGAAAAAAATTAGACGATAGGAATATTATTCTTTGTCTATTCTGTTGTTCGCGATTTAAATATTTCGACTTGTCATAAAAAGTAGGGAGTTTAATACATTTTTCAGGATTTTGAAATTTGTCGTGCTTAATTCCTGTTTTAATATTTATGTGCGATGTTACAAGTTGGATTGTATAAATACATGAACAAATTTGTGTAGTGTTACACGAATTTGATGTTATCAAATGTTGATCTTGTAAGATAAAAAATTGATCACCTTCACGGTTTTGCAAAAATTTTTTTAATTTACCATCGAATAATAAGATTGGCTTACCTGTCGCAGTCTGGCTCTGAGGACGTGGCAAGGTACTGTTTCCGGAATTTAATATCGGAGTTGAAGGTAAATTCGATGAGAATCCACTCGATCCACCAAAGGGCTTAGGACCGATGAGATTGTTGCTCGTTGGTGCCTGTAAATATATAAATTTCTTCGTTTAATAGGCGATCTATTTTTAAAGCAATATTTTATTGTAATATATTGACTTATTAAGGCATGAAAGTTTTCTTTTTCTTATTTTAAATGTCGATAGTTTTTTGTATAAATTAAAATAGCACTTGTTAAATAAAGAATAACGTAGGATAAAAATAACATTTATGGAATTAATAGATTGTAGAAGGTTATCAGTGCCAAATATAGCTGAACGCACGAAACTTCGCTGCCCTGATTTCGCCTGCTAATGCAAAAGTACGAGAAGTTAATTTGTGATCTATATCGCGTGAAGTCAAGGAATATCGTACTTCTATGTAAAAAGTTTTAAAGAGGTCACATGCGAGCAATTACACACTGTTTAATTTATCAGCACAAAGTTTTTGAGAACGATTAATGTTTCATATGTGATAAGATCATAGGTTTTTTTTTACCTTTTCTGAAATTTTATTTATTTAAAGTTATGAAATACGAAAGTAACGAAAATAAATCCATTTATCACTAACTTTTAAGTATTACTTTTTTCCATAAATAAAATTTCTAGGCAACTTTGTTGAATTTTAAATTAAACCAAAAATTATAATTATTAGAACAACTTAGCAATTCTAAACTTTTAGTTTTTCGTAGTTTGATGATAATTAAAGAAGGATCAAAACACAGCGCTGTACACAAAAGCTCCAAAAGATTAATAATTGTCAATCACACAAGCACAGAGATTTCTTTACAGTTATATTATCCTGATTTATTTTCAAAGACAAAAGTTTGAATTAATTTTGCGACGTCACATTAAAGCAACGACGTCTCGCACAACATTGACTTTTGCGGGATTATCGCGAGATACTGACGATCTTAGAGATCGGAGAAGATCGACGAGAGCGTTACGAATCGTGCTGGGACTTTACCTGAACTGATCGTATGCTGGGTGGATCGACGGGCGGGGTGCCAAGACGGGTGGTAGGCTGCAACGCACAAAACGACACAACGATGTCACGTGGATTAAAAATGGGTGGGAGGGAACGAAAGGAGGAAAAAAGAATCGACAGGAACGCTCCCGATTACGACAGATTAATTAGTCATGAGTCCGAAATAGTCGATCGCGAGATAGAGATCAACATAACTGGGTAGTCGACCTAGAGTCGACTAGGAAGCTTACGATCGCAAGGACACTTTAGTGAAATAACGAGTCGGTGACTGATCGATTGGTTTTGTAATTAATACATGATTCAGCACAGATATATTTATATGATTGTTACTGTGCCGATTCTTAACAAAGATTAGTTTGGAATTCATGTATCTTTTGTTGCACATATTGATCAGTAGATGTGAAAAACAATCAGCTATCATCTCTAAATCTTTGATATAATTGACGAGAATATTTTTAGAATATTAAAATATTTTTGTCTGTAATATTTTTATACATATGATAACGTGTTGCGCGTAATTCTATAAAACTCTGCATCTATAATATTTTATATAAAATTTTGTTTGAATAATGTTGATTATTGGACATTTTACGTAAGGGAATGACGAAGGGTATATTAGCGGTGTTTAACGCGAGCGAAATATAGAAATCGAATTTTCGAGCACATTGCCAACCTCTGTGCCACCTGTTTGGATGGTGATCGTGCTCGTGAACGTTTTCGATTCGCCGTTGCACTCGCCATTCCTGATGCATCCGTTCGTGTACGAGGTCGATCGCCATATATGCTGGGATCCAGAATCGGGACTCGTACGATTGCACGCCTGGAAAAGCGATTAGTGCCAAGCAAAGACCACACCGGTTAAATTCTCAAATAAGCGCGCAGCAAATCGGAAATTTTATTTGCCATACACGGCGTGATTATCGTAAATTTATGTTTGAGGAACTTATGATTAATTAAGGACAAAAATTCCTAAACTGTTCATTAATTTACTATTATTTCGTCGATTGTATTATAATACAAATGATAAATATCATTCTCATTATTTGAATTATCTCGCCGAGACATTTTACGTGAAATATTCAATACGCTAATATTCGAACGCGTACTCTCTTTCTGCTTAGCCATAAAATAATTTCGTGAAATAATTAAATTTATTAATTAATTTTAACAAAAAGCAAATTATGTAATTTGTGAATAGTATAATTGATTATTACGACAGATCATTAGCCTTTCAATATACGACGAATCGAATTCAATGAAACCGGCTTTTAAGAAGGTGATGTTGCCACATTGAGCGACTATTGTTTCCTGTAGCATGATATGAGAAAGAAATCGTTAATGCGCGAGAAATTTCGCCACGACCTCGACTCGCGATCGTAAGAAGCGCCGTGAAATCACGCGCGAGTGCAGCAAAGCCACACACTCAATGCAAAATACTCGCTTCATAAGCCATACCAAAACAGGCAAGAAAATGCGTGCGCGAAAAAAATTCCGCCTCGTGACCATGCCTCGTAAAGAGAATCAAATTATGATGAAGCAACTTACGGAGAATGGCAGAGGTGACGATCCGTGATTGCTGAGGGGCGGCGATAAAGGAGCATTCGCCAATGCCGCACTAATGGTGCTGGCCGGTGCTTTGCCACCTCTATCGATTCACAAAAGATATCTTGTTATTTACTTTTATAGTAAGCGTTCAAACTTATTTTCTTACGTATTTAAGTTCACCTTTACATTGTGCATACATTTATTTTTGCTTTATTTATTTCAAATTATTATTTTATTATTGTAATTTTTTACAAAATTCTATTCTAAACATTTTAAGCGTGTAATATGTAAGACAAGTATATTAAATTGTGTTACTTACGGTGGTGGTATAGTGAGAGGTACGAGACCAGACGGTGCGTTTTGCCTGGCGACAAGTTTCGCATGAATGTCGCAGTACAATTTATTGTTGATATTGTAGTAACCGACATTTTTTAGAGATGTGCCGCAGGTCGAGCACTTGAAGCACTCCACATGGAGATTCTTGTCCTTGATCCTTACGAAGACACCTCTGAGAAAAAATAAGTAGATTAACAACGCGATCGTTTTTTATTTCAACAGGATAATCGATCTTTTTTAACATAACAACAATAAAAACGTGGTGGTATTGTATTGGATGTGCCACGAGTTTTAATTTTATTACTATTCACTCGAATTCAAGAAGAGAAAAAGAGAGGAAACTCGATACCTCGACGAAAGAGGCCGGGAGTAACTATTATTTGTATTATGATTTTTCATGAGAATTATGTTCGACGAATGAGAACGATGAGGTGACTAAAGCTACAAGTGCTTAGAATTCATTTCTGTAACGAAATGAATATTTAAAAAAAATAACATCGTCAAAAATAACTGACGCTTAAACAAATATGAGCGAATATTTTGAAGTACAATATAATGTAATATAATGTTCAAGTGTTTTTGTGTACTTTTTTTTAACAAACAAGATTAGAAAACAGATCTGTTTTTTCCGAAGAAAATAAATGAACATATTTTAATATAACTTTTATAGCAATGAAAATTGATAAAATATTAAATATAATTCCTGATGTTTCCGTCGGCCATTAAATATCATTTGTAATTTTTTTTCGTGCGAGAAGATAGTGATTTCGAACTATTAGCTCGAGTGCAAAAAAATAAAAGTAAGAATATCACATGAAAGTTTTACTTAAGAGTAAAATAAAAATATCTAAATAAAGATAGAAACAAAAATAAAAATTCACAATAATATTCACAACATCGAAAGCAATTTTCTACGTTATTGTCATTCCGTGTGCTGTAAATGCATTGAAAAGGTGCTATTAAAAATGCAGAGAGAGAAAGAGAGAGAAAGTAAAGAGACATTTAGATAGGGCAATGTTCAAGCTACGAGCGAATGAGAAATTTTCATCTCGCCCAGATACGATTCTTAATAGATCGTAAGCTGTAAGCTCGAATGATCACAAATGATCGAAACTTGTCCAAATAATAGTGACAAGAATGCACAACGATTCAAGTACTCGCTTTTCTTGAAGAAGCGATATTGACGAAAAGAGGCAATAGAGAAAGGCGTGCTCCGAGTTCATCAAAAGAATAAGTGTGCACTTCTTTTCGCGCAGTCTAATTATATGTACAATGTATACAATTGTGTTATGCGTGTTTATACCATTTACATATAATACTAATTTGCATATTTTACTTGAACTATATAATTATTGATTCTTATACTAATTATATAATATATAATTCTTATACTTTTCTTATCAATGTAACTTTCAGCGCAATTTTATAATAAGAAAATAATTTTATATATAAATCAATTATAAATAAACAATAATTTTATATAAATTAAATACAATTAGAAAGGATGTGCACACTTTTCTTCGAATCGGAGTCTACAAGATGATACCAGCGGTACGACAATCGAGCAATTCAAAACGGCGTCGTTTTCGGGAATTTTTGACGATCATACGAGAAGCACGATTCGCGTACTAAGAACGACAAGATTGCAAATATATTTATTAGGTTATAAATTATAATTTAATACTATGTTGCAATGATTATACTATGTTTTTTAAAGGCAAAGTTAAGAAAATATGTCCGAATCCGTATTTTATTAATCTGGAACTTGAATTTTATCTAATATAAATTTATTTTAAGTTTAATTTGCTAAAATCTGATTATTATCGATGCATTTCTTAAACAACTCTGTATTTAAATAATTATACAATTTCTAAAAATGTCTTGCTTTTATTACATAAAAAGTCAATTCAGAAAAAAGAGCGCGTTTTCATCAACGCATTTGATGTTGATGAATATTCACTATTTGACTGGAAATCTGAATTACTACTTAATGATTTTTTTTTTACAAAATCACCATGTCATTCTCAGTACACGAACGAAAGCGTCTCGACGGCGTCAAAACACAACCCGCTGCGGCCGTCTCGTGCACAAGGAGTCGTGCTCGTTAAATAGTTACACGATCACTCGGTCGCAGTTGTTACAAACGACTCCGCCCGGCGTCGACGACTCCGACCCGGCGGACGATTCTTGTTTTTGCTGTTGTGGTGTCTCATTCCTTGATTCGTCCGTCGGTATAAAGGGGTTGCTACTGGCAAGTGCACCACCACCACCGCTCATAGCATGAAACAGAGGCGTGGGTGACCTCGGTGAAGTGGCCCTTCCGCCAACCGCGTGGCTCACCGAAGAGTAAAACTCTGTCCTTGAAGAAACTACGACATGGAAGTAGAGAAAAAGCGCCATGACAACTAGGCAGCACCGGGAAAGTGTCGGATCGGACGTGACCGATCGATGAAGCCCTTCGGCAATCGCGTTCGCCAATTTATTCGTGCGAGTTTCCGAATTTTCAGATTAAGAAGCAATTATTGAAATATCCCAATGTTCATCAAGATAGTATAAATTAAATAAACTGATATAAATTTGCACAAAAAACTACGAATCAATATAATATAAACTCTAATCTGAAAAGCGGAAATTTGCACGATATATGGATACATCCGGTACGCAAGTTGTAAACAGTTGTTCGTCGTGGAATGTGACTACTATCTTCTCTCGTCGATGTTTATGCTCTGAAAAGAAAAGAGACGCGAATTCCGAATCACGTGAACTTACACAATGAGCCTCTCGCACTCGGCACAGATGTTCTGTCCTGGTGGTAGGCTCGTTTGCGGCGTTGACGGTTGCGGCTTCGTCTCCGGTGCTTGGACCGGCCTTAGTCCTGTCAGGGCGGGCGATGATGGCGTTATCACGCCGCTCACGATACTCGGCTCCGCTATTTCGCAAACAAGTTATCGTATCGGCACGCAACAGCTCGGCTGAAGCCGATTTTGATTCAGCCGATTAATCACCGAAGAACGCATCAATTTTCGAGAGATTTGGATAGATTTTACAAGAATTAAATAATTTAGAAGACTGAATTGCATTATAGATTAATAATTTTTAACAATTGGAAATGTGAAAACATTATCAACAATATACGCTTTTCAGTGATCTCACATGACATACATGAATGTTTAGAAATATCTATGATAGAAAAATGATTATTATATGCATATTAATAATTTTTAATTCGTATGGCAGTCACGCCATCGTCGATAAAGTGAATGTTACTAACCAGGTTCTGGAGTTTTTGGTTCCTTGTCCGCTTCCTGGACCATTTTAAAAACTTCGCTGTTCTCAGCATTGTAGTTCTTTTCGTTCTTTTTAAAATTGACCCTGCAACATTATGTTCACGTTACAAATAAATCTTTTTTGCGCTCATTAAGATAAATGTTGGCCGGAGTAGTCAATGACTTTTTTTAACAGAACAGAGAATCAATTAATACACTGGATTTCTGGTAATCAAAAATTTCTATTTTCAATACTTAATTACTGCAGTATTAACGTTTGCAAAAATAATTTTTTTACAAATTTATAAATAATTATATATTTAATTGTGTGAAAATTTAACTGAAAAATGATTTTAAAGAGAAACAATTTTAATCTTGCCATCAACTATCTTCGTCCATCTTATATTCGATTTCGCGATTTTACCCAAGGACACCTCCGGCCAGAACCTCCGCTTGAGCAGATAACGTCTCCGCAATAGTCTCCTCGCTGTAGATCCCTACGGGGCTGTTATACTGTTTGTTCACGATGGACTTAATTGGACCGTCGCCAGTGCCGTTCAGCTAAAAATTATTACGTTTCGTTGTAGTGAAATAAATAACCGTTTCTCATTGTTTTTTGTTGCAGAATCGTCGCGGTAGGCAGACACGGATTAACAGTCGATACTAACGAATGGCTTGGGGCTGAAATTGTGTCCGCCGCCGGCATGGGGACCATCCTGTTTCTTAACTGCCAAAGAGGTCTTTGTGACTGGCGCGATGTTACCTGCGGAAGCGGTGTGTATCGGAGACGGCAAGTTTGCAGTTGCGGGTGCTACATGCGGTTTCCAGGTACTGCCTCCTCTATAATGATAATTTGTCGATTGTTAAAGGTCGGCACGTTTTGATATATGAGCCGCTCATAAGTCAAACTGATTAACTCCATTTTTTGTAATTTTTTCAATTTTAGTACCAAAGTATATGATTGATGCTGAACTTTTCATAAATAAAATAAATTAATGGAGTTTTGTTTGATAGAGTTAGTCAGTTTAGCTTTTGAGCGGCTCATATGTCGTTGCAATTTTGTATTGTTAAGACAATTTTTTTTCTAACAATACACGTTGTATCTGAGATGGGAAAACTTCTCTTTCGTTAACTGCCATATCACGTTTAAAGTACCTGTTCTCGTCCGATCACAGAAGTCAAAAAACGTAGAGCATGGTTAGTACTTAGATGGGTGACCGCTTGGGAATATCATGTGCTGTTAACATTCTTTTTTTTTTTAATCGAGAATAATTGTAAATTTTTTATCTAAAAAGTTTAGAAGTTTGAAGAGAAAGTAATCTGTGCAGTTTACGAAAGTAGAAATTTTTGTATCATGGCTATATCTTAATATTAGGATTTTACTTAATGATTGCTAATTCATTGCAAATTACATATAGATATCTGCAATGAGAAAATTTATAATAATTAGTAGCGCCATCATAATATTTTTACTGGCGGTTAACGATAAAGCCGATAAGGTATTTCAAACACTTCCGAAGATGTTTAAACGGCAATATTTTTAAATACTGAATCATTTGTTTGTCGAGTTTTATTATGCTTAACATCTCACCTTTGAACAGTCAGTTCGAAATTATTTCCGGCCTTGACTATAACATCCTGCGCGTCCTTGTGCCTCAAATTATACATTTCAGTAGTGTTGACTCTGATAACCGCATCGCCCGCTTTAAGACCAGCTGCTTCCGCCGGGGAACCGCTATTGACCTGCAATTAAAGCAAACTGGTTCAGATTTATATCGACAGAAATCTGAGTTAATAAACAAACTATGCATTTTGAATATGCATAATTCTAATCATACATATAATAATATCATCAGGAATCATATAATAATTGATTTAATTGATTGTTAGATAATATAAAATCGACAGTGAAACTTATAAAAAAGTGATGCATAATTTAAACTTTTCATTCAATGAAGATCTACATAATCTACTATAATCTTTGAATTATTGAAGATATCGGCTCACCATTTTGTGAGTCTTTATTTCTCTATTTCTATTTTTTTTTTAATTAACTCATTTAACCATGTTTCGTAAAGAGTATGTTTTTTAACTAACCGCTCTTAAGTGCTAACCAAGTAGTGCGGATCGCAATAAAGAATTTGAGGAATTGATTAGCGACGGCATTTGAAATTTTCGTCTTGAATCTCGTGTCTATTTTTACAAGACGCGCCGCCAGACCGTCAGAGCTCTCCTCTCCTCTCCAGACTCCAGAGCCACTATATTTAAGTGCACGCGCGTCATTACGCCTCGAATGTCGGACACTGTGCATCCATTCACGTTAGAGACATGTCGTCGTAGGTTGCGGGAAGACGGTCGACGAAAAGAGGGTGATAAAGAAGAATATTAAGGGGAAACAGAAGTATCCAAATTAAAAAATCAAGCGCTCCTTCTTGCGAGCGATCTTTCAAGCGATTCTTATCGAGCGTGCTAATTATGAGTTCGACTGCGATGGTGATGATGAAGGCAAAAGTAACAAAGGCTTCTATGTGCCGACCAATGGAATCAAGAATAAAATTAGCAAAGAATTAATTTGAAATAACTCAATAATTCCGATCCAAAAATATAAAAGAAAATTTTTTGTTTTACTTAATTAAAACTTTTTCAATTTAGTTTTCTGTAAGGTATTTCATACGAGCAAAATAATTTTGATGTGTAGAAAGTTAAAAGTAAACATTGTACAGATTGATGTGTTGAATATAATGAAAAAAAGAATATAAAAGATACAAAAATTTTAGGAACATGAAAACAATTTGAGATAAAAGACAATAATTAGATTTGATTTCATTATTCGACACTTGAGAATTTAAGACGTATTATTATAATTTCTCGTGCTTTTACGAATCGTCCACTAATTTTGCAAAATCACGTTGAGGTCGAACGCAACAAATTAACTCAAAGGATTAATCACTGAATGAGACAGACGCGTTATTTTGTTATTGTACGAGCGACAGATGCAGCAATCGAGCAAGGAGAGAGGATGCATACGAGCGATTTATTATCGAGTCAGCTATGATTTTTTTACAGTCTAACAGAGTATTGAAAATAATTAATGAGCTTCGACTCAATCGTAGGCGATCGTGCGGAAGGGGCCTCTCTCTATAAATATATCCTGCAATATATCGTTGTTATTTTTATTGCGAGTCGCACGACAGGAACAGCCGTCCTCCGTAAAACATCCCGACAGAATAGATCTTATTTCCTTCGTCTCCTTCTCGAAAAGTGGGTCGACTCGCAAACGATTGGAAATATGACTGCAACATTTTGTGTATTCTATAAATTTAAAGCAAATGGCAAATCGACAATATTTTTATGATATTTATGAACAAAAGAAACTACATCAGCGAGATTTTATTGCTTATTCGAATCGTGTATTAGTCTCCAAAGTTATATATACATTAGATGATGAAAGCATTCCCCATAATATAATAATTCTGCTTGAAAAATTAAAATTGAGCGATTTAAAACTTCGTAGATTCTCTTCATACTAATTGTAAGTTGGCCAATTAATCCCGTGATTCACACTTTTCGACATGCTCGCGCGAAACGTCACATGGGCGTGAAATCGGAACATAAGCTTGAGAGCAGTTTGATCTGCGCGTATGGTTGCCACAAATAGAAGCGCGCAAGCTTGCGTCATCGTCTTGAACGTAATACCTAGTTCAGTTTTGCTGTTCAGTTTTGTTTTCGATTTCGATAAATCTTCGACAGCATAGAGCGTATTATTTCAAAATAATCTGCACGGTGGAACTTACGATCGCGATATTTTATCCATGTATCACAACACGTGCACCTTCCAAATGTATTTAATTGAAGTAACTCGATATGAAATTAAACAAAATTTAATCTTATATTATACTGCAATATTGTGCATACATATATTGACTTAAATTAAAATAATATGCAAAAAAATATATGTTGTCAACAGCACACTGTATTCCCAAAGCGATCTTAATAATAAACCGTGCTTCGCGTTTCTCACATTCAGTTCTTATCTGAAATTGAATGGTTTATTATGTATTTCCAAAACAAGGATCCAGAATAAATCAGATTCAGAACTAATAACCGTTCGTTTTTGAAGATTGACACTATATTTTTGTCTCGTTTTGTATATTATTTTAATTTAAGCCAATCGAATCATTAATAAAAATATTAAAATTTATACAAGATATAAAAAAATAAATATAAACTCTAACAGATGCATTAATATGCTATATCAGTTTGTCTCTGTCAGTTCCAAAGATTTCAATGCATTGAAAATTTATTTGATCACCGAAGTTAAGTAATATTGAATGTTAATACTTATATAAATAGATTGACACATTTGTTGATAAAAAAAATCCTACAATATAACGATAGAAAGAGACATTGTTTATTGTGGGGCATTTTTCTTGGCGAAAGAAATGAGCCAACATGAGAACATCATTAATTTTTTTTTTTACAATATGAGCTATCACTGTGTTGTCCTAATTTTTGTACATATTATTTATAAAACAAGTTTATAATGATCATAGTAATGAACAAGCATGTTTTAACAATAGAGCATCGGAAAGCTAAGGATAGTCAGAAAACATGTTACATTTTACGCGTTGCACAGACGATCATATGTTTTTTCGGTTGATGCGCTTAATGGTCTCACGGTTTTCGCGGGGTCCCTACGATGTTGCGAAGACATGGGGACGTGAACGTAAGTCAGGGTTAAGCTGTCGGTGGGCAAGCCGTTTCTAAAAATAGTCTTGGACCAATCTAAAAATATATCCCCGAACACGTTACGGTCGTTACATACACTCGGAACCGAGTCGCAGCGGTAGCCGAGAGGTAGAATGCATCAAGGTGGCTCCAGGCTTGCTCTGATACACGCGACACGCCGATCGCACCATCACCGACAGCGCGACTGCGATCCTTTTTCCATTCAATGAATAATGGTGGTGTCAATGAAAAAGCCGTTGAATGAGCGCACAAAGACTTACATCTACTTCCGGAAGTGCATGAGTTATTTTTACGGTGCATAGATCGTGCAACATTTTCTTCCTTTCTCTGCTCTAAAAATTAATGAATTAGAACGAATTGCAAATCGACAAATTTTTACACGCACCCTTCCATTCTACGTAATATCGGAAAATCATATAACATTTAAATAAATGAACCATTGAATCCGGTTGTAAATTTTATTAATCGGTGCTATAAGTTTAAAAAAATCCAATCTCCCGATTTACACGACGAATAAGTCTTCGCGTGACAGTTATTGCATGCGAAACGCTGCCGCATGTCCATCTGTCAGAATTGTTCTAAAAATAACTGCCGAATATGCGCGGCGTGTGCGTGTATGTGTAGGTAGATACATTCGAGTGCAGTGAAACCGAGAGGGAGAATACACCCAAGGTGTACGAGGTACGCATTCCAATGGGCGGGTTATCAGAGACGGATTCATCCCACCTTCCATGTTGGAATGCATCTGTTCTTTTTTTTCTCTAGCTCTGTCTTTCTCTCATTCTCCGTCTCCTTCTTACTTAAGCTTAGGAGAAGGACTCTAAAGGCTCATTCATACATGCAATACCCTCAAAAACGTCGCGCTGACGAGAATGCACCAGTTGCATTTTGTGTCGGCAGAACGTGCAGAAACTCGAGTACGCAGAAAAACGTGAAACATACATTTTTCTGCGTACAGAGATCTTTTTTGTCTTTTTCTAACTTTGTCAATGTGTTGAAAGAAACGCTAATATTTGAGCATAAATTTGCATAACATACTTTTGAGTCATAATTTAATTTAGAAATATTTTATTTCAATGTTATTTCATCAGATGCTAGTGTTTAATTATTATTTTTTGAGGTTTTTTAAATAATTATATTTGTTATTTTGGAGGATTCGCATCTTTATAGCATAAATATACTGATACGATAATAATAGAAAAGTTTTTAATTAAAGTATTGTTCTGATATTTTAACTAGATTAACAAATACAAATATATAACAATTGATACGTTTAAAATAAAAAATTAAATATAGAATTAAGAAGAAATTATAGAGATTGTGCATAGATATTTATGTAAGTGATTTTATTGAAATATTGTTAGAAGATATAATAAGAAGATAAATACTTGGGACACGAGAAGACAAGTAAGACGTAATTTTGTGACACTCGTTATTGTTTAAATTATTCAACTTTGAGGTCAGCTGCATCTCGATACAGCGATGACGAAATAAATATCGAAGCGAAACCAAACTAAATGCCTTCGCCGCCTTGTGGCAGGAGAAATAGACAGTAACGTCAGACCAAAATTATTGGCGTACAGTCGACCAGCTCTTATCTCTCAAAACAAACTAGTCGTTGCTACCACTGCAAGATATAACAATGTACGTGGACAGACGTATATGCAAGCAGTACGCTTGCAAAATCGTAAAGTTCCACCTACAAAGAATTAAATATCGATGATGTCAACAGGAAAAGTCAATTGATATATTACTGAAATCATCAGTCAATATTACTATTACTTATTTAGTAGAGATTTGAAAATATTATTACTCTAAAATAATATTTTAAACACCTGAGTTTTATTTAAAGTCGTCTGATTTTCGAACACGGATGCATTATGATGCGAAAAGATGTAAAATGATTGTGAACGATCTCAACAATCGTTGTGATCGTAATCGTGTACCGCATACCAAGTGTCAGGAAACGAAACTGAGAAAAGAGGAGGTCAACG